GATACGGCAGAGAGTCGGGGGACGGGCGCGGCTGGGTGCCCCCCTCGCGTGAGAAGAGCCGCCCTCCGGAGCGACCACCCGGAGCGGAGCGTCCCCGCCTTAAGGCAGTTAATCCTGCGAGCCAGAGGAAGCCGGTAAAGAAGCAACTTGCCGCGGTATTGCGCCAGCCAGCTCAAGCGCTGCCCTGTGCGCTCGCTCCGGTCTGACCGTCCTCCTGCTCCCGAGCCGCTGTTTCGCGCTCCTCGCAGGGAAAACCTGTCGCCGCGGCCAGTGAGCGGGCAGAATGGAAGACACTAAGGAGAGCAGCTCCAGCTTCCTGCCGCCTTTCAGGCACTTCGCCACGCAGGCTATCCACGTGGGGCAAGACCCCGAACAATGGAACTCGCTGGCTGTGGTGCCCCCGATCTCCCTCTCGACCACGTTCAAGCAGCGCGCGCCCGGGCAGCACAGCGTGAGTGAGGATGGGGAGAGGAAGGCGACGTCGGGTTTCAGGGGCGGGGGCCGTTTTCTCTCGCTCTTTGCCTACTTCGGGCTAAACCCACAAAGAGACTTGCGACATATAGAAAGCCAACTCATGCATCGTCGTCGAAGCTTCCGTGGATTACAATCTTGCCGTTTTCCTGTCCTCACATCGCGGAAGCGTCCTCTTTCCTCAAGTGCCTGCATCTGTTACTGTTAGGGGAATTGCACAATTGCTCCCTTGGGTATCTGCCGCCCGGATCTCTTTTCAGCCTTCCCGATGCTAATTGTATAATTTCCTGCAATATTCCGCATTAGGGCTGCAGTATTTTTTAAAAGAGAGAGAGAGAGGGAGGGAGGAACATACGCTGTGTCCTTGAGCCTCTTACAGTACTCAACTACCGTAAAGGTATATTGAGTCCAACTAAAATACGTGGTCACGGTTGCACATATAAAAAAATGACAGAACAGGAAAGTCCGGCAGAATGATTTATAATCGGAGGGGAAAGATGATGGTTGGTGCAATGTAAATGACAGTAGCTCTTCCAGTCATGTTTGTCATATGCAATCTAAAGGCCAAACTAGGGGATTGTGTGTGTGTGTGTGTGTGTGTGTGTGTGTGTTTAAATACCGTGGTAGCCCTGGTATGTGTCTGCTTTCAGTCAATCCTTCTGGTCTTGTATTCCTGATAAAAATGGACAATCTGTTTTCTTCTCCCCTGAAGCAGCTGTGGCCTTACTTTGAAAAACAATGTTTCCAGAGTACAGGACATGAAATGATGAATTCAAAGTTAAAGTACAGGCAGGCAGATTCTGATTCTTTGTTATAGAAAGAGCTTCCTAACAGCAGGAGCAGTTGTCAGAGGGACTAATCAAGTAGAGAGTGGATGGGTGAAGCAACCTTTGGTTAAGGATGCTGTGATTTGTTTTCTGTGGCTTCTTCCAGTTCTGTAATTCTATAGGTATGAAATGCCTCCTGACATTTAATGCCTCCTGAC